ATATATATATTTTTATATATATATATATATATATATATATATATGCGCTACCTGGGTCATAAGAGCACCTTCTAATTCAGAAGTGGAAAAATAAAATAGCTTATAAATGTTTTTAATAAATACAAGAATAGCCAGGGAATCTTTACAAGTGAAAATTTTGAAATACCCCAATATAGGTCTTATTTGGACAATGTCATGTTTCTTTATTATTTTGTAAGTAATACAATGTTGTAGATCTTTCTCTTCATGCTTTAAAGTTTCATTTAGTGTCTACAACAAAGGTCAGTATTATAATATTATAATACTGTATTTTCATAACCGCATGCAGCAATTATTGTGTTTCCATTCTGGAAATTGTTTTTAGCAAACCTGTTTTCTGGCGGAGCAGCAGGAGCAACATCCACCTGTGTAGTGTAACAGTTCAGGACTTTGCATGAACTTGTTTAGCTGCTGGTACTGGGAAAGGGAGTGAAATCTCTTAAATGGCAATTCCAGTTTTATCTAATGTGCCTAAGGTTGTTTATATTTACTTCATTTTAGAAGTAGACCAATATTCAACAGTATTAGAATTCTTTCTATTCCTTAAATATTTACCATTGCACAATTACAAACCTGAAAGTATTAAGAAATGTAAGATCTTTATTGAGAAGGAGAGGATGAAGGTGAGTGAAAGAGGATTATTTGGAAATAGTGCTAAAGCATAGCTCTCAAAGTTTTGCATTATTTTTAGATTCTGTATGGAGAAGTTTAACTTAATTTTGCCAACTTTGGATGCTAGAAACTAAAAGTAGATTGCTTTTTGCTAACCTATGTTTTTATGGGGTGTCATTTAAAGAGCTAATGGCCATCCTTGTCCTATATCAAAAATACCAACTGAAGGTTTTCAACAAAGATTTTGGGTAGTGTATGCCTCCAGATGTACGTTTCATTCATTCAAATAGATAAAATGTATTTCCCGGGAACAGTTTCTGGAAGGCTTTGCAGCAGATAGAAAGAAATTTCTGCCTTCTGTATTGTTGTTGGCTTTCCTAATTTGACTGCAATGGTTCAAGTTAACCCTAGTTGCTGTCTGCGCTGTGCTGGGTCGTCCTGGGAACTGGCTGCTTGACTCTACCTATTGCTTTCTGTGCCCTGCACTTGGGCTAAATTAGTATTTTCATGATACCTTCAGTATCTGAAGTTCTTCAAAGATCAGTTTATTGATTTCTGTGTTTTCACCTGTAGAGAATTCGAAGAGCTTGGGTGTAGTTACCTGTGGAATGTGGAACAGATGAAGAATCTACAGATTAAAAAATTTGATATTTTAAATTTTGTCACAGCTTGTGTCTAGTGTTCCACTACAGGGAAAAGTTGAACGCTTCTAATAAATTTGAGTAAGAATGTGTGGGGAGAAAGAGAAAGCATGGTATTACGTAGAAAAAATTATTTCTGTCAGAGAGAGGGTAAGAGAATGGCTACAGAAGCACTCTGCTGAATGAGGACAGAATTGGAATG